CCCCCCCCTCCCCCGGAGGCATTCATGACGAGGATGCGTGGTGTCAGAGGTATCCATTGCAGAGTACACAGCCCGCCTCATTATGACCGCACGTGACCGGAGAGATCCATTCACCACACAACGGTGATTTCACCTTGGCAGTAACAGATGCAGATTCCAGGGCTCGATCCCTAGACCTCACCTTACCCGTGTACAGTATCAAGTCAACCTCTGTGTGTGTTTGAACCTGTGATCTGTGTTTTGGTAGATGACTGTTGCTTGTCGTAGGTCTGTGTAGCAGTAGGGGTTCGATCTATAGATCTGTCGGCTAGGGGTCATAGTTGTGTAGAGGCCGTAGCTGTAGCAATTCCGAAAGGTCAAGGTCGTAGCTGCCACAGTCTTGAAAGGTCAAGGTCGTAGCTGCTACAGTCCTGAAAGGCCAAGTCCACAGACTTCCGGAAGGTTTGGAAGTGGCCTTTCAAGTTCCTTCTCGCGTTATACACAGCAGACCAGAGGCAAGTGGGCAAGTGGTGAGTCCATCTTCGCTTAGTCAGCGGTACCCAGTCCCAGTCTCACTTTGTACGGTCAGCAAGTACCATGAGGGACTGTGTGCACCATGGGCCCGGTGGAAAAGGGCAGACCAGCGACTTACAGCAGTATAAATCAAGAGACAGCGTCCAGCCATTCATTCATTCTTGCGTGAGCCATGCGGAAGCGCTGCCCAGGCATCTTGTGCGAGGTGGTCTGCAGAAGCCCGAGGTTGAAGTGGGCTGAAGAGAGAGATAGTTCGTCCATAGCCAGTAACAGTAGAGCGGGCATAGCCGCTGTAGCTTAGAGGTAGAGTTCAGTGTGTGTGTGTGTTCTTTGTACAGAGTTGTGAGCGTGGGATATCCAGGGTGATCCAGAGACAAGTGTGTGCGAACAGTGTGTGGACAAAGGATGCGTGAGCGCTCAGGCGCCATAGCCAGTTGGAAGCGAGTTGTAACTAAACTGAAGGATGCGTGAGCGCTCAGGCGCCATAGCCAGTTGGAAGCGAGTTGTAACTAAACTGTGTTTCCGACTTGAGTATCTCTGAGCTTTGTGTGGGCGCACAGCTCCAGCGTGGATTGCCACCGGTTTGCATGTATGTGGAGTGAAGAAGAAGCGAGTCTGATTGCATCGGGCACACAAACACACACAGAAACAGTCGCACAGTTTTTGGGGGTCGTGCACGGCCCCATTTCTTTTTTCCTAGTGCATTTCAATTCTTTAAAGGAGAGGGGGGAGGTGTACCACCACACCCTGCCCCTCCAGAACTTTTCTGTACACCCCTATTTTCGGGGATGTGCCCCTGTGCACTGCATGTGTGTGATGCAGCGCATCTCAATGCGCCGCAGGTATGCTTCAAGAAGTTCAAAGTTAAAAGCTAAAACTTTTCAAAAACTTCAAAAAAAAGGATATTTTGGGTTATGTTTTTTTTTTCATTCCTTTACAATAGCTATAAACAAAGCTCACTTCTGTTTTCCTATCGAAAAGAGAGCGGCGGGGGGGGGGGGGGAAGGGGGGGGGGGGGGGGGGGGGGGGGGGGATCATAAGTTCATAACATCCTAAGATTCCTAACATAGTACACACCTTGTTTACTAACACTGAATGCTGTGTAAGAGTGGTTTTACAAAAAATTATAATGACTGTTTTGTGTAAAATTGGTCGTTTCCGGAATTTTTCAATTTTGCGCATATATTCTCCTAAACTGACGACCATACGAATACTTTAATCCAAGCCTGGAAGCTGGAGAGACATTGAAGATACTGCAGAAGACAGTCCAGCTGTTGGATCAGGTGTCGTATAGCGCACCCACACTCTCAAGGTACAAGATTTTCAAGACAGCACCAGCAGCAGTTGAGCTTCTCAAAAGGTGAGCCTAGTAGATCAGCTGCCTATACACCCTTGTCAATTTTCATAAATTTTCATTAAAAAAAAAAAAAAACATATTGTGATGATATTGAACCGCCACTGCAGGCAGCCTTCTAGCGCAACTTGTAGAAGGATGCTGCGGAAAGGTTCGGCCTCCCAGTTACAAGAGGGGTGGAAAAAAAAAAGAGTTGTGTGATGCAAATTTGGCAATTTTTGCAATCTAGTTTCCGCAGACGAAAAAACTGAAGACAAATCAGGGATGAGGGCTGGGGTCCACCTTGTGAAGGGAAAATAATAAGGAAAAAAAGTGCTCAACCAAAAAGAAAAAAGAAAAGAAAAAAAAAAGAAGCAAAAAGTTAAAAACGTCGAAAAGAGATTGCCACAAATATCCATAAGGGACCTGTTTTTTTTTGGGAGAGAGAGAGAGAGAGAGAGAGAGATTTCAACAAACTGAACGCATATGCTGATCAGAGTTGCAAGTGATCCAGCTGATGCATACTCGGAATAATCCGAGTGATGCAATGGCGCCAAAGGATCAGCAAAGTGATGATAAGAACTCGAATGTACAATGAAGTGTCAGCGAAGCATCAACAAGCAATGTACATCCATATACATACAGAAATGGCACAATGTAGCGCAGTGGAAGACTCAAAAATATGACCTGACCAGTTGGACACTGATGATACATGCCCAGTTTGGCAATGAATGTAGAGCCAACGATCCGCAATGTGATGAAAAGGACTGAATGGACAATGCAATGTCAGTCGAATCTCAACAAGCAATGTACACCCTGACACATACAAAATGGCACATAGTAGCGTAGCGGAAGACTTTAAGATAAGTCCTGACCTGACCAGGACTGACATGACATCCCATCATACATCACACATGTGAGAGAAGGAGGAGGGACCGCACACAAAGAAGAAAGGTCCCTCCTTGTACACGCACATGGGGAGGTGCCACAGATGAGAGATGGGGAAGAGGAGAGACGAAGCTGGAGGCGAGGGAGGAAACCCAGATCGCAATAGCGAAGTCCAAAAATAGACCCTTGCCGATGTCCAATCAATGTCTGCCTCAGAAATGTTGAATCAGATCCTGGGCGCAGTGCCCACTGTAACCTCTGCCTGTATCCTCTGCCTGTAACCTCTTTCACTCTCGTATCTGAAGAAGAAGAAGAAGAAGAAGAAGAGAGAGAGAGAGATGGAGGGGAGACGAAGAGACCGTTTTCCCTGCTATCTCACCTGCAGGAAGGCCGCCTTATGCTGACTGCCGCGTGCTTGTGCAGGTCGCGAGCAGAGTCCCAGCTATGGCGCCAGGCAAGTCCGCCGTCCGCAGGTATGGCCTCCGCCCTCTCCTACCTACTCCCCTACCTCTAGTCCTCAGCGCAGCGTTAAGCTGCAGCGCTGGTCCAGCAGCGTGAGCTACCCGAACTGTTCCTGGCCCAGCCGCTGCCCAGCTATATGGAGCGCTGGGCGGCTGGACCTACCTGGTGCTGGCCTCAGAAACGGCTCAGCTGGTCTGGGTCCCTACCGGACGTCCAGACCATGCAGCTGATGCAGCAGGCGCAAAAACGTGTCAGGCCTGGATCAGGCCTTGTTCCTGTGCACCTGGCCCAAGGTGCTGCCTTGGTGCCTGCGGTCCGAAACGGTACTGGTACCGTTGAGTCAGGCGCCAAAACGCGCCTGGTTTCGGAAGGGCCTCGTGCCTCTGTACCTGTCCCAAGTCGTTGCCTTGGGGTCTGCAAGTCCGAAACGTCGTCTGCACAGACAAGGGACAAGACAATGGTAAGTAAATAGATAAGTAAATAAATACTACCACCTTTATGTAGAATCTGCGGCCTGGGGGCCGCCGTGGGCCTCCAGGGCGCATGCCTGATGGCATGCGACCTGGGGGGCCCTCAGCAACCGCCAGGCCCCTTAAAATGGGCCCGTGTGCAGGCGCAGCATGTAACACTGACTTGACCCAACCCATCAGACACCAGTCATGTGAGAGAGAAGGGGGGGACCGCATACACAGAAGAAAGGTCCCTCCTTGAACACGCACATGGGGAGATAGCAGGGATGAGGTGAGGGCGGAGGAGCAAGACGAAGATGTAGAGGCGGGAGAAGACCAAAGTCGCCATAGCGCTGTCCCCAAATAGTCTCCCTGTCGAATGTCCAATCTATGTCTGTCCCTGTGATGTCGAATCAGATCCTGGGCCCCATAGCCCGACATAACCTCTCTCTCTCTCTCTCTCTCTCTCTCTCTCTCTCTCTCTCTCTCTCTCTCTCTGTGGAGGAAAAGAAGAAGAAGAAGAAGAAGAAGAGGGAGAAGGAGAAGGGAGGATCTGGAAGGCAGGAGCGGGAAGAAGAAGACGATGTCAACCTCTCCACTGCCTCACCTGCAGGTAACTGATCCCAAGTAATAGTGGAGATGGAGTGCCTCTCTGTGCTGCAGGTCGCTGGCGAAGAAACCAGCTATGGCGCCGCGGTAAGCTATCTGCAGGTATGGCCACCGCCTCTCCCCTCACCTCTCCTAGCTCCTAAGCCTCTACCTCGAGTGCAGCACTCCAAAAGTCGCATGCTGCTCCATCAATGTGATGCTCACAATGTTGCCAGCTGAAAATCTGCCGAACTGGACTGCCCGACCACTAGATATAGTGTTGGGCCTGGCTGGGAAACCCACGGTCTGCATCCAGGAGCGTCGGATCTAAGATCCAATTGAAGGCCCTGAATGCAGGCCCAAATCCTCCCCCTGGTGGTATCTTGCTGCTACAGCAGGTCCTACCTATTAGGGAATAAATAAGGGAATAAATCAATGCTGAATCGAAAAAAGACAGCAGGACTCAGCGAAAAGATAAATAAGGGAATAAATCTGAATAAATAAATGCTGAATCAGAAAAAACACCTGCATGGGGCAGAAAAACATGCCTGGCCTGGAAATGGCCGTGGGCCTCCAGGTTGCACATCAACAAAATCATGGCGTGCGGCGTGGGGGGCCCTAACAATCGTCGGTCCCTAAGAAAAAGTTCCCCTAAACAGGTCTCAGCATGCTCTACATCCAGGTACCCAACTTCCTGACCAAAGTCTGCAAAAGAAACAAAAAAAAAAAAAAAAAACTGGATGATAATTTGATGCGGTACATGACCACAACCATCGGTGTGTCATCAGATAGGATGCGACAGGGGGGAACGTGGGAGGGGGTTTCGATCCCGTTGAGATAACGTGACTTGCGTCCCCAAGGGTCCATCCATCGGCAGACTTGTGGAGCACCAATCAAGTTCACAAGCTGCTAATAAAAAGGAGAAGAGGGTGAGGCATGTTTAAAGAAGAAGAGAGAAGCACGTTTACAAAGGAGGAGCAGCAGTCCTTCGGGACATCCATTAAAAATTGGAACGATACCGAGAAAGAAGATTAGCATGGCCTCTGTGCAAGGATGACACACATAAATCTAGAAACGGTCCGAATTAAAAAAAAAAGAAAAAAAAAAAAAAGAAAGAAAGAAAGAAAGAAAGAAAGAGGAGAGGCATATGTTTAGACAAAAGAGGAGAAGCATGTCTAGGGTCAAAGAACAGCTGGCAAGTCATGTGTTGCAGACTTTCAGTTTAATTATTTATTTAAATTATTTATTAAATTATTTATTAATTTTATTTATTTATTCTCTTCGGTTTATTGCTGCAATGTTTTTTTTTTTTAATTAACATAACTAATAACCAAAGACAGATTGGAATTTGGAACATAAGCAGCCCGGTTTTGTTTCATTACTCTGCAGCAAAGTGTTGCTGTACTTTTTGGCGGCAAGCTTTCCAAGAATGAATCACTCGAACACTCTCCCGAAGAATTCAGCATCCTACAGCCATAATGGACCTGTGACCTTTTTCTCCTCCTCCTATATGTATGCTCTATCTTGCCCCAAGAGAGCGGGCATTCGGTATGGTGCGGGGTCACACAGCCATGCCGCAAAGTGAACCATATACAACTTGTCCCAGATTTGTTTACCCCAGTGTTCTGCTAACATCTTCCCGCAGATATAAGATATAGACAGTATAGAATCTATAGATGTATTTGGGTTGGCGCACCTTTATGTCTTATAAATTCACTCCAGATCCGCGATTACGACGATATCCAGATCCACAATAACGACCGTATCCAGATCCACAATAACAAGCGTATCCAGATCCACAATAACGAGCGTATCCAGATCCGCAATAACGACCGTACATTCTATTTGGGTGAAGACAGGAAGCAAAATTTCTCGTAGATTGGGGGGCGGGAGTTGGAAGAGCCAAGAGGAAGTGCAAAGAAACTGTGTACTTGCTGCCTCTAGCAGACGGGGACGGGGGATCACCGAACATGGGAAGGAATTGCTGCAAGGTTCATTGAACCTCGTTTTCTCCGGAGACCTTTTTCACATTGTCCTGAGTCCTAGCAAGCTAGTTTTCACATTGACCTGAGTTTTTTTTTTTTAACAACAGTCTAACAAGTCAGTTTTCACATTGTCCAGAGTCCTAACGAGTTTTCACATGTTGTTCGCCTGTGATGCTGTGCAGATTCCCAGTAGTGAATGAGTGAGGAACATCCGGCAGAATGAATTTCCAATTTTCCACAAAAGAATTTTGTTTCCTGGTGGTTTTTCATTGGAATCGGCCGATGGGTGGTTGCAGAGGATGAATATGGACACAGGCTGTGAATGGATGCGTCAGGGAATTGGCTGATGGGTGGTCAAAGAGGATGAATATGGACACAGTGTGAATGGATGTGGGATGAATATGGACACAGGCTGTGAATGGATGTGTCAGGGAATTGGCTGATGGGTGGCCAAAGAGGATGAATATGGACGCAGAGTGTGAATGGATGTGTTTCCAGTCCTGACGCTTGTGTTTTCCTTTGGGAATGTGACCCTTTCCTTCTGAGTCCATGTAACTAAGAGGCTTCAACCCCGACTTCCTGCCAGCTCTCCAATAATCGGCGTCCAACTGCATGCAAGGATGGGTGGGTAACGAGGATGAACATGGACATAGATTGTGACCGGATGCGTTCCACCACATTACTGCCCCCGCACCCAAGAGTTGGCTATTCCCCTCTTCCTTCGTCCGTTCAGAGTTTACACGCTGCTGCGAGTGAAAAAAACGGCAGGTAGAGGAAGGGATTCATGTCAGCAATCTAGCAAGGACTTCGTCTTTTTGAAAGCTCTCTTTGATCCGATGCATCTGGTCTGAGCAGTGCGCATTCCGCAAATCTTAAAAATGGCAGAAACTTGAGACGAGGGTTTTCCCAACTTTTCCCCATATTACCGACTCATGCACACAGAGCGAACATTCCACAGAGAAGGACTGCTGGGGAGAAAAATGCACAGCTAGAGTGTCTGCAGCATGAACAATCGTTATGCATCTCCGGAGGATATGTGGGGCTATGTGGGGGAGCAAGCGGCACAGTTTATTGATTTTGTATACATACGCGTATTTGCGTAAGATCACCAATTCTGGGATGGGTTGCCCTCAACGACGCACTGCAAGACTGAGGGCATACTCATCATGCTAGCACTTTCCTAAAATGTATCCGACTGCAATTACGGCCCACTGTCGATGAATCTGACCACAATCACATCGAGAGCCGAGTGGCAAAAGTCCTAATGTGGGTATGCCCTGTCCTGAATCCTTCAGACAAACAGCTGTGGCAAGTGTATGGACTCCGGTGACAGAACAGGAGGGAGCAGAGGGGGAGGAGGGGACGAAGGAGAGGAAGGGCTGCTGTTGAATGAGAATATATGCAGTGGTGAGCTCACATAAGAGAGTATAGTGAATAGGTAGAAGAGGCAGTATAGTGAATCCTTAGAAGAGACAGTATAGACAGTATGGTGAATAGTTAGAATAGACAATTATAGCGAATAGCTGTTGTGTGGTCCTGTTTTTAACTTTTGGTCCAAATACAGTCATGATTGTAGGGCATTCTCTTTGGAGGAAGGAGGTAGGCAGACAAGGAGCAGCTGCAGTGGTCAAGCTATATATATATTCTCTCTCTCTGCCTACGGTTTACAGGGCAGTTCTGTTTGTGACGATATATATATAGGGAAGTTAAAGAAGTTGGCAGACCAGAACGGACAGCCGGTGGGCGGCCGGCAAAGACGTCGGCTGTGCAAGTAGACACCGGTCGGAACAACAAGAAGACAGGACAAAGTAGAAACCCGTAAGCAGGCGGCGTTGTACAAAGGAGCCGCTGTAAGAAGGAGCTGCACCTGAACAGGGAGGGAAAAAAGGAGGTGGAATACCGTGCGGGTGGCGTTAAGCAGGAAGTTGAAGCAAGCGTGAAAAGAGAGACTTGCTGCAATTAGCAGCATAGGAAGGGGGGGAGGCAGGTGGGGCAGCTGAACCAAGGGACAGCCCACGAGCAGCATGCAGCACCGGTGCCACCGGCAATCGCTAGGCTCTAAATACCATCCGCAGATTCCACACAAATTAGAAAAGGTCGAAAAAAGGAGGTTTACATCAGGCCAGCAAGGACGAGAGGGGAGGGGCACCGCGCCGATGGACATGGAAAATCCAGCAGACTGCAGAGATCCAATTGGCAGATACAGGCCAGGTCCTAAGGGCAAAGGCTCAAGATACAGCACCGACACTCAAGCCAGGGCATCAAGGAATTGCGCAGTGCATGCAGTGGTTGTATTATGGGAAATTCACATTATCATCCACCTCTGTAGCAGATGGATGTTGGGTTTCAAATCTTGATCGAAATTCAGTTGCTTCACAATGAAATTTGCCAGAGATGGTGGAGAGGTACATCGTCAAAAGTTCTCTCTCTCTCTCTCTCTCTCTCTCTCTCTCTCTCTCTCTCTCTCTCTCTCTCTCGTGTGTGTGTTTGNTTCTCTCTCTCTCTCTCTCTCTCTCTCTCTCTCTCTCTCTCTCTCTCTCTCTCTCTCTCTCTCTCTCGTGTGTGTGTTTTGAAATTTCACCACACCATCCCCTATTCCACCCAGATGAGCAGATCCAAAATCAAACCATATCCAATCCTATTACAGACAACGAAAGACCTTGAGTTGAGACAATCCAACAATGAAACAGTKKTGTGTGTGTGTGTGTGTGTGTGTGTGTGTGAGAGAGAGAGAGAGAGAGAGAGAGAGAGCTGAGGTTTTTGCAGAAACAATTTCACCGCAAGTGTGTGTGTGTGAGAGAGAGAGAGAGAGAGATAGAGAGAGAGTGTGTGTGTGAGAGAGAGAGAGAGAGCTGAGGTTTTTGCAGAAACAATTTCACCGCAACAGCCCCTATTCCACCCAGATGAGCAGATCCAAAATGAAACCATATTCAATCCTATTACAGACAACGAAAGACCTTGAGTTGAGACAATCCAACAATGAAACAGCGGTGTGTGTGTGTGTGTGAGAGAGAGAGAGAGAGAGAGAGAGGGGAGGTTTTTGCAGAAACAGTAACTCAGAAGCTCTCTCCAGCTCAAAAGACACTGCAAACATCAATTCCATTCCTTTTCCATAATAATGCAGAGAGAGAGAGAGAGAGAGAGAGAGAGAGAGAGAGAGAGAGAGAGAGAGAGAGAGAGAGAGAGAGAGAGAGGGAAATGTATATCGCCTTTTACACATTCACAAACACAGAGAAAGGAAAATACTGCCTTCCAGTATGGAAAACAGTGCCATACTTCCAACATTAACAAAAATATCATCCCTTGCTGCATGCACCAAAACCTGGTAATCTCAACATCCCCTCAACACCATCCTTGTGGTAAGTGTTCCTCACCTGTCCTCAAAACAAGTCCTTTCAGAAGAAGGAAAAAAAGAAGAAAAGAAAACGACCCTCAGTGTAGATCAGAGCCTCTACCAATCCTTGCAAATTCTGATCACAGAAAAATTGTAAACTGACTCAACTCCACAAATCTGCAATATCCAGTAGCGTCCAACCCTTGCACGATACATTATCCTCTGACTAGAACATGTTACTAGAACATGTTACTAGAACAGGTTACTAGAACAGGTTACTAGAACAGGTTACTAGAACAGGTTACTAGAACAGGTTACACTAATACACTGGAACCCAAAAACTTCTACCTGTGCATCAATAACAATGGTGTGACAACAACCAACTTGCAGTGTAACTGCCCCAACCCTTGCAGCAGAGTCCTCCCTTCTTCAACTGGCAGCACAAACAACCCCAACTGCTCACAGAGCGACAACCTGCTGCTAATGTAACAACCAGCTCGCAGAGTGTGACGACCAGCTGGCAGAGTGTGACAACCAGCTGGCAGAGTGTGACAACTAGCTGGCAGAGTGTGACAACTGACTGGCAGTGTGTAACAACCAACTGGTTAGAGTGTGACAACTGACTGGCAGTGTGTGACAACCAGCTGGCAGAGTGTGACAAATTGGCAGTGTGACAAGAAACTGACAGATGTGTGACAACCAGCTGGCAGAGTGCAACAACCAACTGGCAAAATGTGACAACCAGCTGGCTGCCAGTGTGACAACAAACAGGCAGAGTGTGACAACTAAGAGGCAGAGGGGCAGCCAACTTGAAATATGGCAGTATGACAGGCACATGCACCCCTCCTTTTTTTCCCTGCCATCGCCTCATTTCTTTAAAAAAAAATGCAACCCAAATTCCTCCCATTCGTTGTGTCACTTCTCAGTACCATCGTCTTCTGCTCACAGTGTCGACGTCTTCTGTGGCTGGGCCTTCGTTCCATTCAGGTCCAGCATAGATTCCACCATCTCTCGGACCTTTGGACGTTTTGAAGCGCAACACATTTCCAAGCTATACGGACTGCTGGACTCGATGTCGTACAACGTGGTCAACCTCACCATGTTTGACATTCTAGCACACCATCTGTCATTCCTTCTCCTTCTCCTTTCTCCTTCCTCCTTCCTCCATCCTCATCTGACCTGCTTGACTCCGAACAGAGAGAACATGCTGTCTCGTCTACCAAGTTCCTCCACCCATCCAGTCATCCCTCTCTCTCTCTCTCTCTCTCTCTCTCTCTCTCTCTCTCTTGTGTTGTCTCCGAAGTCCCTTCACCCTCCCATCCATCTCTTGATCATGCTATCTGCCTCCCAAGTCCCTCCACGCACCCATGCTCTCTCTCTCTCTCTCTCTCTCTCTCTCTCT